CATTGCAGCTACCACAGTTAGTACAGCCAAAAGAGAGTGATGCTGCTCCCCCCAGGCCAGCCAGTTCTATCGAGTTTACTTTCAGTTTACCTTGACAATTGGTCTCCTGGCAAATTGAATATTGTTCCACAAATTTGACCAACTGTGTAGTCTCTGTGACAACCATGCAATTACTGGAAGCATCTATGTGCAAATTACTCTTGCAAGGAGTATCGAGTGTAAATGTGCAATCAGGTTCACCTGGAGTGGGTTTTTCATCTTCAGTGGCACCAAGAACATTGTCCTCTTCCTCAGAAGGTACTGGTTCTTCAGTATGAATCTATAACAAAGAGAATGGAGTGACGGAACACAACACTTGACAGATAAAACTTCCTCAAAACATGAGGTCAAACATGCCCACTTGTTGTGAGAATAATCATTACTTATTCAGTATTAACAAGAGCAGATGACAGTTAGAGAGAGTGTCAAACTGCACTATGCCAGCTGGAATATGACCACGTAGAACTAAGTCACGTGAGACCTGAAGTGTGGGTGTACCTACTAAAAGCACGTGTAGAAGTTTGCATAAGGAACAGTGGAGAACACTTGAAGAAGCTTTAGACATCATACTAGTAAACTTTATAATCCTGCTGAAGCCTGTTATGCAGTACAGCTATTGCAGAGACTCCAAAATGGCCAGTAAACCTTGTTGAGCAAACTAGGCAGCCATTTTTTCCTACTCAGCCACACCCAGTATGCGGGAATGGCCAAAGATGTGCAAGAAAGTTCACACGGTCATATTCCAGCTAGAATAGTGCATTTCGACACTCTCTCTAACTATCATCTACTCTTGGTATTAATGTAATGATAAATTATCTTCATTAATCAGTGAATAATCCTAGAGGCCCATCATCGAAACATTTATGACAGTAACTCTGCAGTAACGTGGAACTTTTCTCTGACAAGCAAGAGCAACTAATGATATTTTATTTTTCCATGTCATATACAGTAGAAGGCGAAAAAAAGATAAGTAGTACACAGGTAGTGCGTAGGTAGTAATTTTACTTCGTTACTCTTCACTGCAATATGCCCAGGAAGTACTGTTGATACCGCCCAGTCACATGTTCCATGTAACAAGCGCACATGCACTCTAGAGGCTCTCAAAGGACTTGAGGATGCTTCTCTTGGCTGTCTTTACTCTCCAAGTTCATCTCTACTGCTGCTCTCTGCTTATAAAACGCCGTTGAGGAGGCTCTTTGCTCGATTCACTGTTGAGCTACTGTCCTGCGGCTGACCAAGTGCACTACTGCCACAGATTGGTTTGCACATGCGCAACGAAGGACCAGCGAACTACAGTTTAGAGAAAAAAAAGCTAAGTAACTGCAGCGTCACTACTATTGCACCGCGCAGTAAAGTACCTTCCACTGCGTAGGATTGACCCTTGTGCTGTGCTTGTATTGCACATGCGCAGAGTAGCTGGTGGGCAGGGTAGTCCTTGCCCACTGCACAGCTACCCTGCACAGCTACTATATACTACTCTTCCAAGGCTACTCTACCGTCTACTACTTATACTAAACGGCACTTACTAGCGCTTGTACTCTACTGGTTTCAAAGAATATGGGTCTAAAAAGTAGCCGGATATCTGTAAGTAAAGGTTTTATTACTATGTGTAAGGTTCTTCTTATGTAGGAACGGTGATTCTACTGGGCCGTAGCGACAGACTATGACTGTCACAGTGCAATGGTGATCTGTTATTACGAAGTCTAGGAGTTACAATGCATGTTTGTAGTCATTTCTTTTTCTGACTTTTATTTTTGTTCTGAATTGTAAAACATAATGATATTTTATGTACATGTAAAGCTTATATTAACCCCGTACTTACTACCCCTTTCAAATTGCAAAAATGCGTGCATTTATCTGGTGGACTAGTGACAATGGTGTACAGCACGTACAAACAACAGAGGATTTCACATTCCTTTTGTAAGTTTTTGAGTAAGTATTCACCACTAATTTTACTGTAGCACTGGATGTCAAAGTCTCAGGTGTGAGCAAACTGATTAAGAAATACATGGAAACTGGTTCAATTACTCAAAGGCCAGGTTTGTCAGTATTAATTCCACTACACTTCTCATTATTTTCACAATATAGGATCTGGAAGACCTTCAAAAGTAACCAGAGAAGTTTTAAAGATAGTATAGGACCAAATGCAAGCTGATGATGAAAGCACTGCTACTCAACTTCAGTAGCTTCTCGTTGAGAAAGGTCATTCACTGTCACTGAAAACAATATTGAAGTCTCGCAAAACACTTGGTTGGACATACGGTGGGAGTGCATACTGCCAGATCATTAGAGAACCAAATAAAGAGAAGCGAATGAAATTGGCTCAAGATCAGTTGCAGGAGCACAGGACTACTGGTTTTTCTGATGTACTGTACAGTGATGAGTGTACAATTGAATTCGAATCCCACAGGAGATTTTCATGAAGGAAAATAGGTGCCCCCGAAACCAAAACCAAGGTAGCACTATATTAATATTACATGTACGTTAATGGTATTTTTTATAAGGTACATGCATGGGCAGGTATAAGTTGCCAAGGAAAGACGCCAATTGTGCTGTTTAAAGAAAAAATGAATTCAGCTGGCTTTATTGAAGTTTTGGAAAATGGACTGATTCCTTATACCCAGCATTTAAATCCATCTCAAAGATTGATGCAGGATAATGATCCCAAACATTCCTCAAAGAAAGTAAAGGAGTGGTTAGAAGCCAACAAAATAAACTTGTGGAAAACACCACCAGAATCCCCAGATCTTAATCCGATTGAAAATCTATGGCACGAGCTCAAAGAATATGTCAGGAGAGTAGTGCAACCACAACAAAAGGAGGAATTAGTCAAAGGAATCATGGATTGTTGGGAAACTGTAAATAGAAGAAAGTGTAGTAAATATATCGGACACGTACGTAAAGTAATATCAAAAAGTGATTGAATGCAATAATGGAGGTCCCACTGGATAGAAGAAAGTGTAGAAAATATATCGGACACTTACGTAAAGTAATATCGAAAGTGATTGAATGCAATTATGGAGGTCCCACTGGATATTAATATTTGTACATGTACACAGTAGCTCTTTCGATCTTCCTCTTTCCTTATAAATGTAACATCACATACATGTAATCGATGCTAACAGACTTGTACATTACAGATTGCATGCACTTATAACTCTCTTCTATACCCCTCCCAATCCTTCTCCCTCCCACATGTATTATAATAATTAAAAGCAAAGTATATCTTTTATTCATTGTATATCTTTTGCATCTTTATATCATTATATCTAATATATAATATATATACATGTATATCAACAGTGTCACTGTGTTAGACTATTTATTATCTTATATGATACTATACTCAGTGTAGCCTTCTACTCTAGATTCTTAATATCAGGTGGATATTTGCTTCTAAGCCCTGAAGAGTAATGATTTATTGCTTGAATACACTTAGACCAATACAGCTAAAATTCTTCCTTTGTACTAATATCACGTGGATGGAATAATCCCAGTAGCTTCTGCTTCAGCTCCATTAGAGCACCAGATGGCAAAGGAGGGTTCTCCTTCTGCCTATACACACTACGTTTAATCAAAAGTGATGGTCCAAAGTAAACTTTGCTAGCTAGTCTTACAGATGATTGTCCAACTTGAGAGAGTGTCTTCAGTTTGGGATATTTATTAATCACAGTATCAGGATTCAACAAAGGAGCATTAAAATCAATTTTCCTTCTATTACCAGTGTGCACAGTAGTATTGGTGATGATTGCCTTTACTGGCTCATTAGTTGGAGTTACTGGATCAGTATGCTGAGGTAGATTACAAGCAGATGGGGCACTAGGAGTACTTCCATTACTGTTCATGTATGTAGCAGAGTACCTGCCTAGAATATTAATAGGATATTACTAATCTCTAATAATTATTACTGAATACTAACCCTTGTGTTCATGCCGGGCTAGTATTTCCAATGAAATGGTATGTTAAGCAACCCAATTGGGATGGCACCATGATACTCTGTTCTTCTAAAATTTCCATTCTTCTAATTAGAGACAAGTATATAACCTCT